GTTTTTTTGGGGGGGCCAAATTTTTTTTGGAAAAACCCCAAAAAGCCCGGAAAAAAAAAAAAAAAAAAAGTCATCCAGGTTCATCCAGAGCTGCATCTGGAAAACGGTTGGAATCTGCAGGACTTCCTTGTAAATCTACCCCCTCAGAAAGCACCATGCTGGGCAGGGTGCAGTGACAGACTGGGCTCTGTGCTGGAGGGGAAATGAGGAAGGGCGCTGCTTCTAGGACTAAATTGAAATAGCTTTTTTTTATTTTTATGGCCACCTAAAGACCTCTTCAGAGCATTACTTATTTCTACCCTTTTTAACAATATTCTCTGTATTCCATTTAAGTAAAAAAGCTTAACCTACAACCAGTCCCTGATTGGCTGCCGTGTCGCGGTTTCATAGAAAAGTTCAGCTCGTTCAACTTCGATCTCCCCCCCTCTCTCTCTATGCGGTGCTGCTGTTTGATACCTCAGCTCTATCTAGTAGCATGAGGTGAGAGCGGAGCAGTGGACGCTCTCACCTCGTGGAGTTTACCACTGGCCCCTTCACCATGCGGTTTGTATAGGGATGGTATTTATAGGTATTCTATGTGAATCTACCGAACTAGCCGTGTCACCGCGTCCAGTCGGAAAGAATCATTAAAAGCTATAGAACAAGTATTTATATACTATAGATGTCTATTTAGTAACACTGATCATTTTATTCTCCAGCACTTTAGGCTTTCTGTTGATGTATTATTTTTGAAAAATTGTTTTTTGATGAAAAAGCTCTAGTTGTGACCTTTTGAATTTATTCTGTTAAAAAGGAAGAGAATAAATGTAACAATTCAGGTCTGCTTAAAACATAAAAACGATCTTTTTATGATTTTTTTGCTTCCCCCAGATGAAGACTGTCCCTCTAAAGACTGCCATGAAGGCTCTGATGAAGACTTTGTTATGGGGAACGTTGAGGCTTTCAGAAGGGACTTTGCATCTCGTGTATGGCTGACGTACCGGGAAGATTTCCCTCCACTGCCAGGCAGCACGCTGACCTCGGACTGTGGCTGGGGCTGCATGCTCAGGGCTGGACAGATGATGCTGGCCCAAGCTCTAGTTCTGCACTTGTTAGGCAGAGGTAAGCAAAGGAATTCAATTTTATAATTTTTTAAAACAACACAATTTAGCTTGTATTGGTTGCTTTCACTGTTTTAGGTGATAACCTAGCGAATGTATGACATTATGACACAGTCACTGTAAATATGTGATTTTTAAGCCACGTATTAGCATGCCTTTCTATTGTATAGCGGATCCCAAAGCTTTCTTGGGTGGGTCTTTGATTTAAAATTATGTCTTCTCAGCCCCTTCATATCAATCTTGACAGTTAAACAAAAAGTTCTACTACGCTACAGTAAAATATAATGCGATAAAATAAACAAAATCTCCTTTAACTCACAGATAAACTCCTTTGAAGTGTAAATATTTCAAGTTTAGATTTTGTTTTACTATGTAACAAAATTGGTCATTTATTTAGTTAACTTCTGCAATGACACTAAGCCCCTCTAGGGGGAGCTCTCCCCCGACTTGGAAAGCACTCCTTTAGTAAATTAAATTTTACTTGTTTGACACCTCTGTTTTGTTTTCTTAAATAATATTTTTCTTAAAAAGGAAAGCACACTGATTGATGTCTACATTTACATTCTCATCTGTTTCAACCAACAGTTAATTTAATTAATTTTTGTGACACAAAAATAACCAAGAAGCTAAATTGTGTTCTTCAAAATATACAGAACAATGTGAAGCAACTGCCTGCTATTCATGTTTTCTGTAGTGTAAACAGAAACAAGACTTGTTATAGTAGTGTCAACCTCATACTGAAAGCTGGAGCTAGGATAAAGCACATTTCCCCTCTTAAAGCTAATTTTTAGGCCCCATTGTTTTTAGTTGAGGTAGAATACATTAGGTGTTTTTGTAAACTACCTGAAGGGTTAAGCAAATGGCAATTTTAGCCCTTACAGGATGACCTATTTTTATAGGCACCATAATAATAATAAAAAAAGTATTTAAATTGAAGTGAGAGAATTTTAATAGAAAACTCTGAATCTCTTTGTAAAATGTCTTTGCAAAAGACACTTTGATGCATTTATATTTTTACACTATAGTGAAAAATAAAAACTCTTTCTGCAGGCCATTTACCATTTGTATAATAACTTTTTATATACTTTGTTTTTAAAATAAATGTTTCTATTGTTTTTTCCATTCTTGCATTCTTCCCACTCATCATACTAAATTTCCTTATCAGTTAAAGATGAGCAGATTGAAAGCAAAATTAGGTTTAACTCCAAACCAACTTTCACCTTTAGTTCAAAGTTTTATAGCTGATAGCACCACAAAGTACAATGAAAAATAATCAATAATGAAATAATAAAGGCACTCTGATTCAACCTGAACTACCAGAAACAATTTGACCGCAAACCTATTTTAACCTGCATATTAAGGCATGGTTGTTTACATTTTATATATCACAGAGCTGCTGTTATAAGCTTCTCCAAGGAATATTCTGTGTCTCAAAGGGATAATTTAACCCATCTAAAAATTGGGTGTCAATGAATATAGAATTTGAATAGAGGGATAAAGGGTGAAAGGGATTTAATCCTAGTTCATGTTAAATCAGTCTAACTGGGAAACCACTTGTGTAAAATACTTTGTCCACATGATTTCTTAAGTCTCAGGCTAATGGGGTAATTTAAAAACTTTTTCAAGATCGTCAAAAATCTGTCACCAGTGAAATATTTCCCTATAAAGACACAAAAGTCCACTTTAGGAAATTTATGGATCAATTTTGAATTTGATTCACTTTGAAACAAGGTCATTTTCTTACTGCTTTTGACTTTATTCTAGGTTTATTTTTTATTACTTTGGCTTCTTCCATCCACTCTACCTCCAGTCTGTTCCCACCCTGTTTGTAAGGCTAAGATAGTGTAAAAATGAAATACACACTCAAACTGATAATTGAGCCAAGTTATGGCTGTTTCTGAAATGAACTGAATTAAGACCCGTATGAGTTTGTATTTAAAACCCTCTAAAACTGAGGATAGTAGTGTGTAATGATCAGGTTTATTAGTGCCTGTAGAATGAATATTTATTACTATGAAATTAGAACAAATGCTTAAATGGAAATGAAAGTGAGATTTCCCTCTATTTTTGATCCATCTAATCCATGCTGTCATGTTAAGATGTTTTTTGTTTTTCCCACTAATGTCAGGTTTAGGTGTAGCTACTCTAAATGCCAGCTTTTATACTGCCTGCCTGCTTTCTCAGTTAAAAAAAAGTTTTAGACCCAGATTATTTTTACCGTACAAAGATGGGGCTCCATAATTAAAAATACACCCACTGTTTAAAGTGCATTTATAAGGTTAGTATTTTTCCTCTTTTTTTTTTTTTTTATAATAAAATTTAATTGATAAGGGTTAGTATAGATTTTTGGCAAAACAAAATGCAATTTGTATTTTTATTTTTATTTTTAAGAATATGAGCATCTCAGGTATTTTCCTTCTTTTTACTTGAACTAATTATTTTAACCCAGTAACCAGCTACCTTTTGGAGTCATCTGACCCAACCCTGTATATTTTTCTGCAGACTGGACTTGGTCGGAGGCGCTGACACTGCAGCCTTTAGATGCAGAGACACGCACCACCACAGCTGCAAAGCGTCTCGTCGCCACCCTGGAGGCTTCACTGCAAGGGACTCCAAAGAGTTCTGAGAGCGGACCCACTTTTGTGCCTCAAGCCCAGGCGTCTGGATCGGCAGAGGAAGCAGATGCACATTTAAAGGAGATGTACCACCGAAACCTGGTGTCCTGGTTTGGGGAGGGCTCCTCAGCTCCGCTGGGGCTGCACAGACTGGTTCACTTAGGATTGACGATGGGAAAACAGGCAGGGGACTGGTACGGTCCGGCTGTGGTCGCACACATCTTTAAGTAAGGATTCAATAAATTCGATCATGATTAGGCAGTTATTTTATTTCAGTAACAACATCTACTAAGTCAAACACATTATACAGACATATTTCACCCATTATGATATTTCAAACCATTTATATTATCTGGTAAAAGCTAATAAAAATGACATTAAGATGATAATGTTACATTATACCAATAAAAAGCGATTGTGTTTTTTAAATTAATGTTGAATACTTGCCTAAAAGTTTCAGTTGTTTTTGCTTTATATTACTAGATGTATATCTTTTCGTTATTTATGTTTTAGACAAAGAGCCTCAATTTAAAACATATTTTCTAGAATTTCTTTCTCCCCAATATTTGTTTGTATTGGTATTTTAACCAGTACTAGAAGTGACGTATTTGGGCATCTTTAAAGTACTCCTTAAAATTTAAAAGAACTATTCCTACTATTTCTTTTTGGAAGTTGTAATGTAGTATACATTATTCTTGGTTGTTTTTCTTCTTGATATAAATTTATCCCAATTTACAGAACTGGTTTTGAAGAATATTTACTGGGAAGGACAAAATTAAATCCAACAAATATGGTGGTATTTTCACTGTTATACTTATTCTTTAAGTTTAATCCATAAAGGATAGGTCCACCTTTTTTCAATGTCTTTCAGCATATTAACTTATATGCATTCATAATTGTTTTGGTATCATTTTCTTTTTTTTGTTTTCATATATTCACTCCGAACTAATTAAGGAATTTTGCTTCCCACTTTATTTACCATTCCTTCCGATCTTGATTTGTTTATATTTATTTTATAGTCAGAACACAGAACAAATCTTTCATATTGGAAAGCATACCGGTAATTCAAATTCAAACACTGTACTAAGCACATGCTATCATTTTCTATAAGTAGCTTTTAAATGGCTTCCATTTTAGAAGTGCAAAAATATTCTATTTTAACATTTACTTGACTGTTGATTAAATGTTGTAAAAATCTTGAGTTTTCTCCAGCAATATGATGCATGGCATAAAAAATAAAAATAAAACCATTTTTTAAATTTAAATATTTCAATTGAAACCTAAAATAAAAAAATGCATTTTTATGAATCTAACTGTTGCATAACATTTTCATTAGAAAATAAAATCAAGACTTAAGAGAGACCGTTACATCAGCCGGCTGAGATTTTTAACTGATATTAGCATTTTCTTTTCTTGTATCGGTATCGGCTAATTGTGTGCATGTGTTCACCGATTCAGTAGTGCATTTAGAAGTCATACCTTGAAATCAAGTAAGACACATTCTTTGGCATTCCTTTCATTTGCTGTTGATTGTCAATTATCTCTGCCAAGGAGGTTATGTTTTTAGGAGAATCTGTCTGTCTGTCAACTGAATAACAAAAGTTATGGACGTATTTCAATGATTTTTTTCAGAGATGTTCGTCATGCAAAGGAACAATCCATTAAATGTTGGTGATAATCCAGATTATATTCTAGATACAGGAATGTTTTAAAACATTCTCTAATATTGTGAAATGGGGATATTTGGCAGAACAAGCAGTTCCCCACTTAACCAGAGGGTGGCAGCAGTGAGTATTGACAGCCTCAGCATCAGACTCAAAAAGTCCTGGCATACTTTACTAAAGACAAAAACCAGAAAAAGACCAGAAAAAGGGAATATTGCTCTTTTATTTTATTTTTTAGCAGGATTAAGTGAAAAAAAATATGAGTTTTTTTTTTTGAGGGAAATTGTTTACCAGAGGTCAACCTCATGCCAAGGAAAAAGTCATTTAAATTTTGTACATTGGTACTGCCAGATTGTGTGTGAGTTTAGCGATAGGTGTAGATCACTATTTTGGGCAAAATTTGCTGCCTGGTGGAAATTTGTGTTCTCTGAATGCTTTTCTAGCATCAAGTGTTATGTGATAATAAATATTTATATTTGTTTAAATTGAGACTGATGTAACATTTGTTATAATTGTCATTTTCAATCATGTAAGTGGAGAAATAAAATATGATACTGGTCATAAAAAAAAAAAAAACATTAGCATTTGATCTTAACCAATATATATTTGTCCGACAACAAATCCGGCTCCTTTTTTTTTACGTTTCATAAATCCAGAACCAGGTGTATTGTTTTCAAAAACGTATCAAAATCTTCCCAAATTCAAATTTAATATTTCCTTTTCTTTAAGTTAAACGTATGTTATAGCATAACCTTTTAAACAAGCCTTTTTACCTGCAGTTTCTCTTGTTTCTTACTCTGTTCTTTCTACTTTTCCTGTCTTTTTGTTTTAGGAAAGCTGTCAAGGAAGCAACGGACCCTGGCTTGGCGGGTATAACTGCCTACGTTTCCCAGGACTGCACAGGTATAAAAGATGATCCTGCTGTTGATTGTGCAGGAAACTGGGCATGACGCCCAAGTCGCCTGCTCTTTTATGCCTCCATCCTTCTCGTTCTGTGAGCCTCCAGAAGCTAAAAGCGGGGGACAGGAGTCTGTGTCTGTTCCCAAAAACAATCACATCCATTTCAGATCTATAACATGCCGTCCAGACCTCCTCCTAACCTCGATATCTCAGCCCATGATTTATGTTTGTCTTTTCAATAGCAGAAGAGGGCAGTTTGTTGGCGTGTCGGTAGCTTCTAGTGTAAGTGTGTATAGTTAATCGCACTGGGGAAAATTAAAGCTTTTTCATTCATTTAAAAGTCAGTCAGCATTTATAAATTGGTTATACTATTTAATAACTGTAAGAAAATGCTTCAGTAAAAAGGGCATTTCATGGATTTCTTTCTGTTTTTACCTTTATAAATGATCCAATCCAACTTTACTTATATGGCACTTTAAAACAGCCAACAGGATCAGAGCGCTGCACATAAGCAGGAATTTTAACAACATTCAGCGCACTGGAATTAATACAAGCAATATAATAAAAAAGTAAATAAAAAACAAAAAATAGAAAATAAAGCAGGAAACGTAAAATCAACCAACAGCAACATCCTTTGAGTATTAAACACCAAAGAAAAGAAGAGACTTTACAAGAGAACCAAAGTGGAATCCTGGAGGGATATGCAGCGGCAAATCACTCCAAATGTGTGTATTAATTAAATTAATACACGTTTCTATTGTTTAAGGACGATACGCGTTTTATCACTATACATTGACTAACTTTTCCTTTACTAATTTGTTTTTGTTTTTTTTCTGTCTAGTGTACAGTTTTGATGTCATGGACTGCCACAAAGCGCCAAGAGCAGGAGAAACCTCTGACGCGACACCAGAGAAGCCTCCACCATCACTGCCCACACTGCCGGAGGACCGGGCCGTCATCATCCTCGTCCCTGTGAGGCTGGGTGGAGAAAGGACAAACCCAGAATATTTTGACTTTGTAAAGGTGAGACATACTGTTGTTTCTGTACTTTATTTCGTTTTGAGATTTTTTTTGCCAAGATCCCTGAGACTCCTCAAGTTAAATACAATAATAATGATAATGTATTTTATGTATAAAACCCTTTACATTTGAAAAAACAAATCTCAAAGTGCTATGTTTTTATTTTTCTGTAAATACCGTATTTAGTCACTGTTGGAAATTGCAAATTTAGATTTAGTTTTTTATAATTTTTTTTGTATTTCATTGATGACAAACCACTGTGGCTGATATTGAATCTCCTGTTTGTACAGCTCTGACCATTTGACACCATTTCAGGACAATTTTAAGTTGCCACCTTTAGCATAATACAGTGTTATATCCGTTTGTTTGGAGGATGTTTGCCAATATAATGCTGCAGCTCGGTTTGCATGTGTGCGGTTGAAGTGATGTGATAATATCTGCTTTTCTAACACAGTGGTATATATTGATATGACAAAAAAACACAACTGCATTTTGATTTTACCAGTTCATTATAAAAATGTATCATTCTTACATTTTTACAGATGAAAAAGTTTTTATTTCTTCAGTTTGATTAAATCCAATTGGATTGTTAATTGTTTGATGTTTTACTATGGATGAGAGTATTGTTACTCCACTAATTAGCAGCAGAGGTGATCTGACAGCTCATCACTGTGAAACAGGACTTTTGTTTTTAACTAAATAAATGTATCATAGGGAGCAAATCCTGAGAAACTGGAGGCAGTGGAGAAGGCAAGAATTAAATCTCAAATCAGAAAAAAGATAATTTGATTAAATTTTAACTGCCTTCAACATCCAAATCACAGGTCTGAAAGGAATAACAATTGCAAATTACAAAAAGGAAAAAAAGACAAATTCTGTCACGTTTTACTTGAACATTATTCGAAATTTGAATATTTCCATCGTTTTCTGAAGAATGTGTTATAAAAAAAAAAAGAAATTCTTCCCCAATACTTGCATACAAAAAAAAAGGTGCAAAGCTCTTAGATTACAGTACAGTACGTTGATGCAATGAAACTTTCCTTTTCAGACTCTGGTTCAAAGTCTATTCTCCACCTTTAGAACCCATATACTTTCTGACCGAATGATTCAGGGATCTTAGTTTTTATTTTATTAGCAACTATGATTGTGATCTGTTAAAATTTCAAGTTTTTAATTGGTTTCTGTAACGTCATACTATCTGTTATTTTAAACCTTTTAAATCTCGTAAGAATCTACACGCTGAACTTTAATCCAAAGTTTTAAGAAAAGCTTCAAACCTTTTGAAATCAAAAATGTTCCACTGATTGATAGAAGCAAGTTAAATGTTTAAAAAGATGAGCTGACCTTATTCTTTAGTAGCCTAATGAACAATCTCTTTCAAAATTCTGTTTTAAATACATCCTCTAAAGCCTTTTGGGCTTTCTGTGACTCTGATGTCAAAATTAGTTAACTTGGAGTCTACTTCACTTGGGAACAACTTAAAAATAGGAAAAGAAGTGTTGTTGCTTGCATCACTTGTTAGCTCTTGGGTGCATTTATTCAGCAGAAATAACAATGATAAAAGTTATTTATATTTAATCATGTTAATTTTGGGCTTCTAATATATTGAGTTTCTGTTATTAGTCTGATCCAGTCCAACTGAAGAGAAGCTAGTTGTTGTTGTTAGCTGCCAACCCACAGGTTGTTTTATAAATTTAGTTTCTGTTGTTCAAGTAAAAGATGATGCAGGAGCTTATCTTATCCACGGCTGCATCGTGTAGCAGTGGGTAGTGCTGCTGCCTTGCAGTAAGAGGGTTCTAGGTTCGATTCCAGGCCCGGGATCTTTCTGCATGGAGTTTGCATGTCCTCTCTTCTCTCCAGGTACTCTGACTTTCCTCCTACAGTCCAAACACATGACTATTGGGTTAATTGGCTTCTCTAAATTGTACTTGGGTGTAAGTGTGTGTGCATGGTTGTGTGTATTTGTGTTTCTCCGTGTTACCCTGTGACACCGCGACCCTGACGAGGACTAAGCAGGAGAAAATGGATGGATACTTGCCTTTCATTACGTAAAAAAACAAACAATGTCATTTCAGCTCTGACACACTTTGTGTTTCTCTGCGTTTCTCTGCTTATAGAGCATACTGAGTCTGGAGTACTGCATAGGAATCATTGGTGGGAAGCCCAAGCAGGCCTGCTACTTTGTTGGATTTCAAGGTTAGTACCAGTATAATGGAAAACCAAGGAAGACTTATTCCTATAGAGGTTGGTGTGAATAACAATTTATTTTTTGCATAATATACCCTTTGTATGTGTAGAGACAAAGTAAGTTAATGAATTCATGTTTGTATGAGGAAAACGAAGAGGAGTGGAGATGAAACCGAGTGAAGCGGCGCTTACTTTATTCTCTCTGACCCATCAAAACCTCGTCCATTTATCACAAGTAAACCTCCCAAGTTGTAAACCATAATTGATTTCCATAGGCGGCATGCATTAAATTTCATCCGGGGCGCCCAAAGTGAGCCACTCTTCATCACCTTCAGCAGCTAGGAGAAACCTTCAGTTGTACATCTTGGCAGTCAATATTTACGCATTTACATTTTACCCATATGAAATACAGCGTTGGATGATGTCTAAATGACAAGCAATACATTCTCCCTGCCAGGGCACAGCTCAGCACTGCATTCATCATATGCAAAACGGTCGAATATAATTGCGTGTTTGTAAAAGTAATTCGCCCACACAAAAATTAAACGACAACCTCTTTTCTCGGGGGTATAAAAAATGTGCTTGTACAAACTCATCTGATTATGCAGAATTTAATCCACCCTGGTGGATATTAAAAAGCAACAACCTTCTTGAAAGCATATTTAGCTCACGCAACCCCAACAGTAGGTCCGGCGGGTGACTTTGAGCTGCTCTGCATAGATATTGAGGAAAAGCCTGTTTTTTTTTTTTCTCTCCTTCTCTTTAATAATCTGATGTTTTTGAATAACTTGTCTTTTGTTTTGTCCTTGCAGATGACAGCTTGATTTACATGGACCCTCATTACTGTCAGTCTTTTGTGAATGTCAGCACCAGCGATTTCCCTCTCCAGGTAACGTAAAATTACACAGTTGAGCTGACTTAGGGATCCAGTAAATGTGGGTTTAATAGTTTCTGTTAGCACTTAAGGGTGTGAATCTTAAAGCAGCGCTCAGTCCAATCATAGTCTGTATTTCCTGATTTATTTGCTGCTCAGACAAGCAAAGCTGCCACCTTAGAGAAATACTGCAAACGGATTCGCTAGCAGACTTAATATCTCAAGATATATAAGCACTGTACCGATGTATCCCTATAAATTCAAAGCATTACAAATCGAACCTTTCTTTTATTTTATTTGAAGAAAGGGGAGTCATGTTACAGATTTATCAAGGTATGAAACAATTATTTGGATTAATAGATTATTGAAATGATAATCCATTAATTTAGAAATCGATTAATTGTTAATGGGAGTATAGATGCTGAGTTTGAATTCAGCAGCTTCTTCCTGGCTGATTATATCATAGCACGGCGCCAAGATTGCGGCCGACAAATTGATCCTTCTTTGTACCCGTTTTGAAGGACGGGTCCGGTGTATCCTACGTAGCCTTGGGTATTCCGTGATTCATTGCGAGTCCAAGCAAGCCGGCTGCTCTGTGCTCAGAGGAAAAAGAGAAATGGTGACAAATAATTGTGTATATTGTTAGTGCAGTTTAATAAATTACAAATATGTGAATAGTTCAGTCTGAAATGAATGAAAATAGTTGTTTTAAATGGTTATTGAGTCAAATGTTTCAGATAATGTTTGGTTTATTGAAATGTTTTTATCTTTCACTGTGTGAATGTGTTTGGCTGACATTTAAGGACCGATTCTAATATATCTGCAGCGTAGAGGCCTATAAATCTGATGTTAGTGACGACGGTACTGCTGTTGAAGCTCCCCAAAAATGTATTTAGCATCCAGAACAGTAGTGAGAAGTTGCATCCTTTTTTGTCTGCTTTATTTGTCAACTGTCAGCCGGAGAAGGCTGGACCTGTTTGAATCCATAGCCAAACTCTTCCCTACTCCTTGTTTTCATGGACCTGGAAGGATCCAGTCTAGATAGACCAGGTCCTTGGAGGATCCAGCCTCTGAATTTGAACACACACACTGACTCCAAAGCATGCTGACAGAGCAATTTACTTAGAGCAGTAATTATACCCCAAAAAAAGAAATTTACAAATGTTTTGCAATTAAGATAAAAAAAAAAAATATTAATCTGTTTTAGTTTCACCTGGTTTAATTCTGTAAAAAAAACTTCTTTAATGGACCTGTTGCTATTCGATTATTAATAAAAAACAAGCGATTAGTTGGAACCCCAGACTTATCAGACCCAGAGCGATACATTTAAAGTGTTTATTTCTGCTGATTATGGCATTAGCTTATAAGACGCAGAACCATCAGAAAAGTTTTTATATTGTTTAAAATAATTTAAAAGGATTGTTTGAAGAGAAATGGTGGCCTTCTGAAATGATATCCAGTAGCAGCTTGGCAAAAGCTACTGCTATACTCATCCTGGCATTGAGGTGATGAGTTTGTGGCTCCACTGAGGTGTTCAGACAACTTAGGATGTTGTAACTTTGGCCTTCTGCTCTTCTACATTGTTTGGCCTGTTGCTGATCATCTTAAGCTAACAATGCTCCAAAGACTCTCTAAGACAGTCTTCCAGACTATCATCACTAAAACCAGTATACCAACAGACTTTCCAAACCATTGACTGGAAACTAGACAGTGTACACTTAAGGAAATTAATGCCTCTCCACTTTCCTCCAGACTGGATGGCATCGGTTCCCTCAATAAAATGCAAAACCAAAGTCTAACTTAAAAGATGACTTTGGAGCACTTCTGAAAATCTATTCCTCTTACTACTTGGCTAAGGTGAGATTGATCCAACCTTGTCATTAGATCAGGATTGGCTTAACTCGAGTGATGTGGGAGATGTAGCCCATTTCCTGTGTGTAATATCTCTGAAGCACTGACTTCCGCTGTGGTTCATTCCATCTAAATTTCCTTATTATCTTCAATTCTTACTCTTAGGGATGCAGTGGTTATGCCTGTTGCCTATTCTTTTTTACCACACCTTTTGCTGCTGAGCTGCCAGCTCCTTTAGTGGATTCCTTTTGTGGGACTAATACCACTTCAGATGTTTTTCCCATGTTTATATTGACCATACAATGTTTGCTTTTTCATTTTCCTTTATTGTTTCATTCATATTCTGCGATGTTGGATGTAATAAGTAATATGTAATATGTATTGAGCTATAATCATAAAATGGTGCATAAATAAATATGAAATATATCCCTCTGGGAGAATGATTTACTATTCAGTGAAATTCTATTCAGTAAATATTGGTTGAATAGTGGAAGAACTAAGAATAAATGATAAAAATTGCCTTTTACTTATTGTTAACTTTGTACTAGAGTAAATAATTGCTGTTTCACGTTGATGAGTATCCCAGGACTTAAATATATATTGTTATTTATTGTTTTTGTTTTATTTTCAGTCCTTTCATTGCCCCTCTCCAAAAAAGATGCCTTTCAGCAAACTGGATCCCAGCTGCACTATTGGTTTCTACTCTAAAAGTTCTCAAGAATATGAGAGAATCAAGGTGGAGCTGTCCAAGGTAAGGACCTGAAAACCTATATATCATTTAACGGTTGAAGGGATTCTCTTGCTAATTTTCCAGGTTTGGTTTATTTTTAATCACTTGTACATTAATTTCCCCATGTGGCAGATATTTGTTCAGCCTCGCATTATTTGACCAGTAGGTGGCAGCATTTAGCCACGGATCTAACTTAACTGTTATCCGGTCAATACAGCTGTTTTCAAAGCACCCTCTCTTCTTATGTCTCCCAGTTTGACCTTAACCTACACATTTTTTTCTATGCAATGGATACAATTAAAATTTAGAAATGATCCTAAAAACTGAAACTATATCTAAAAGTTGTTTCCCTGTTTTTGTCCCAGTTGCTGCAGCCCTCACTGAAGGAGAAATACCCAGCGTTCACTTTCGTGGAAGGTCGCAGCGCAGATTACGACCTGTCGGCCGGCCTGAACACGGAGAGGCGGGAATGGCCTTTCATTCGGGACACGCGCAGAACCGTCACCACAGCTGGAGACTTTGTGCTGCTTTGAAAGCCCAGTTTGATGGTTCAACGAATCTTCTCTCATAACGATTCTAATTGCTTAAATTCATGGCATCATGCAGTGCATTCATGACAGTGTTAGGATTCAGTAGTTTACTGACTCAGTTTTCACATCCCAGAAACATTAATCCTAAACAAAACCGATTTGGTCTGGCAATAAGAACACTGGATTATTTGTGGAAAGTTATTTAACATTATGTGTTGATCTACTGAATCTAAATTCATAATATTAAGTATCTATTTTGTCGTCAACATATTCATGGGGGCTCAGAAAATTAACTCTACAGTTCATTATTATTATATAAATATGTTTTTCTTGTTGTTATAAATGAGACCCAAGATGTTTATTTTGTTATTTGTTTTTGATGAAGGGTACTTTTAAAGAGATATTTGTATAAATATCACTAGGTCACAATCTTTCAAAACCAACAGTTTTACACAGTAGTGCCAGAAATAAAGGCTACAACATATATTTTTTTAGACTTTCTATGATAAGCATCACTGCTATAAATAGTAAATCATAATGTACTAAACTAAAACAGTGGCACAGCTTGACTTGACGTCCTTAATTTGTTTTAATTTAACAAACAAAAACACTAAATTGTATCCAATGGCACTATCTTATTGGTCAAAGTCTAATGTGTGTTTGGTTGCAGACTATTTTTTTTTTATTCTGAAGAAAAATGTTCCAAAAGTAAAAAATTCCAATGAGAGTGAATAACCTGTACTCAGATTACAATATGGCCGCCTTAGATTTAAAGCTCATACATTGCACTAGTGAAAAAAAAAACGGTTAACTAAGATGTGAATCTCATTAATAATTTTAAACTCAAAGCTTTGTAAAGTATGAAAAAAAAACTTATTAGTATCTGATAATGCCATTACAAATTAATATGATGGCTAAGAAAAACACCTGATTTTAACACTGAAAATTTGAATATTTCAGGTTTATTAAACATGATTGTTGGGTTTGGTTTCATAACTTAATCCAATTTTCCAAACGGGCCAGAGCAATAACTACTTCAATAACTTTATTGTTCTCTTCTAGCAATAAACGCATAAAATAGGCTTAATCATGATCATTTTTCTAAAATGGCTTATTTGTGGAACCGACCCAGGCTTTAGAAACCACTGATCTAGATCACTGACCATATATTTTGCCTTAGATGAACTCCTTAAACATTACGGTTTCACTTGTCTGTAAAAAGAAAAGTTTTCTGTTGCTCATTTAAATGTTTAAAACCATGGCAGCCATGTTGGATTTTAAGGTCTGCCTTTAGGATGTTTTGAATGTTTTCTACATCCAACTTAAAGATATAGACTTCTCATTACAAATTAAATGCATTAATTAACAGCTTCCTGTGACATAATAAAAAATATTTCATTCAGTGCCACTGGTTTACATTCAGTATGAATTGTTTTTCAATTTTTCAGCCAAGAAAAAAAGATATTGGACAAATCCAAGCTGCATCACTGTTTTAGAATATGTTAGCATGGAGGTAATTGTTAAAACTTGGTATTTACTAAATAAGGATGAACAAATATGTTTGCACCACAGTTTAAGAACAACCTAGAGCATTTAAAGCTTAGGAGCTACTAAAAGATCAAGCGTACCTTTTAAGGTTTCCTTGGACAGAAGGTTTCCTTAAAGTAGATTATCCTCTGAAACAAATGAAGAAAAAAGCTGCACTCATTGAAGGCTGCTCTACACAATTCAACACAAAGTTAAATTGAATTACATTAGAGCCATTTCTTTCTTTTTAGCTATCATAAATCAAAGGCTTGTATCACACCATACAGCACAAAGCACAATGTCCTGTGATCTCTTCCTAAATGGAAGATTGTTGGCTTCTATTTATGAACAGCAGCATGAAACAAACACTTGAGTTAGAGTCGGGAAAATGTAATATAGACTGAGACACATTTAGTGTATGAAATTTATTTTTTCTGTTTTACCTGCATTTAGAAGCACTGCTGTATATATATATTAATGTTGCAACGGTTCCTTAAAGCATTTCCACTCATTTTTTCTTAATTCAGTCATTAAATAATTGAAGTTCATTTATTGTGCAATAACTACAAATTAATCTACAGCTAACAAGAAGTACTCAGTACCTCAGTGTATCTTTTGTTACGTGATAAACACTAAAGAATATTCTGAGGGTTTTTCTTTTCTTCATAAATAAACACTTTTGTTTGATAAATTGACTTCATAAATCACCAATAAGTTTGTTAAACACTTTGAGCCAGAGAGCTAAATAAAGTATTCTACTTGAATTAGTTTGCTTTCTTTCTGGTTGTTCTTGTTGGGGAATTCAAAGCCTCTCTGAATACAAGTAAAAAGAAAATGTAAAGTTTGCATCATTTTCAGGCATGCATGCAAGCCTGGTCGACGTGTTGAAATACATTCAATGCCTTTTCTCTCCCAGTCAAATGTGGAAGATTAAAACTAATCGTACGTGCTAACCATCTCTACAGCCCATTAACCAGGAACCGGAAAAAATGTGACCCGGTGACACTGGCAGCATTTGTGTTCCTCTGTGGAGGAAAAAAAAATATCCTTGTGTGCAAAGCCCTGATAATCTGTCTGTTGCCCTGTTGCTGTTTTCCTGTACAATGCAAATTCTTGTCTTATGAGCTTTTCTATTAAAAGGAGGGAAACGTCCCTTCTATGGAGGGGGAGATGGGGCAAGGGTGAGGATAGAGGGACCAACAGCTAAAGACTTCCTCGTTTGTTCTCACTCCAACACATAAAGACATGGTTTAGCTCCGCCGCATTATCATTACTCTTTTTTTCTATTTTTTGACCTAGCAACAGACTTTGCAGATGGAGCAGGAACATTAAATATGCAAAACCAAAGCATCTACAGAGACATTCCTCTGCTTGGGAGATTGAAAGAGTTTTGTGGACAGGAGGGGACATAACACTGGGGATTTTTGTCCAAAATATGAAGGACCGTTTGTTCTCCAGGCTGCGGGGTGAACTGAGCATTGACTTTGTTCGCCGTGTATTTACAGAGATTTATGAATATTTGATTAATGAGTCACAGGAGCAAGAGTAATGCAATAAACAAGTGGTGGTTGAATAAAACAAGTCAACTGCAAGTATGTACTCTAATACGGTTCAAATTCCTAAGAGTCTAGTTTGGAGTGAGTCGAATTGCTGACAGAGGTCCACATGAGCCTTTGTCTGTTTCCAAGATGAATCTGTGAATAGGAAGATAAATGTTCTAGTTTGAGAGACTTTTACATTTTCTTTTTTTTTTTTTTTTTTTTTTTTTTAAACAAAGCTTGGGTTAAAATGCATAACTTTATCATCATCAACATTGGCATTATCAATCATTTTGCCTCTCTTCATAAAGAACCTCCAAAGGTTCATTTTAGGTTAGTTTTTCTAAACAGCCACACCTGCATCTCAAAACACGCCTTGCAAGATAAACAGTTAATTCCTAATCTGATCATTCATTCAGAAGGAACAGTCTAACTTTTATTAGAGATTCACAGATTCAATATTAATATCTGTATCAATCAATGGGCCTCATACGTAAAGACAGACTTATTCTGTCTATTTGTAGAATACATTTTAAGTTGGGTTAAAATTTTAACATCCAGAATTCAATTGGTTTAAGAATTTAATAAATACAGTCAGTTTGAACCTGCATATTTTTAGAATGGAATTTACCCTGTTAACAGTGTTTTTTTTGTTTTTGTGACTTCTGACCTTATTCTAATCTAAAGTTGCCTTTCACATATACATGTGTACATTTTTTCCTATCATATTTGCTTGTATAAAGGTGTTTGTGACTGACTCTTAAGAAAAAATTAACATTAATATGATAACATTAAATTAAAAAGAGCTCTGGTATCGAAAAATTGTCTGGATCTGCAGCAGTTTAAATTTAGGTATCCAAATCTGTTCTGAAGTTTAAAAAGTCAATTCATGCATCCTTAAATTTTATTAATGTTTATGCAAAATTAAAAAAGAAGGCAGACATGAAGTTTAGCCAATTGTATTGAGTCTTTCGGTTTGTAGCAGACAACTATATAGATGAAGCATATGATGACTGTGGATAAGAATAACTTTCTACAGTGAAAAGGATCTTCAGCAGAACCTGGAACCATTCAGGAAAGGGACACAACTGAAAAACAGAAGCTGTGGGCCACAGAGCTGGGATGTAACTAGTTACAATTAATCCATTACATTACATTTAAGTAACGTTTTGAGGAAAAAGTGTTTTAAGGGATAATTTTTCTGCATCATGCTTTTTAATTTTATCTTAGTAAAAAGATAATGCGAAATCCTTTTTCTGACTCTGGTAAAATGTCTGGCTACTCTATGCATCATGAGTAGCTTTACTTAATGAAGAACAGGCTTGTTTTAAATAAAAAGCACCAGTGAAACGTACATGTCCAGTTAATGATGGTATTGCGCTGATACTGATAACAGTATCGGGCGGGCCTCCTATACAGCACTAAAATGGTATCGGCGAGTACCAACAAATAGGGCACCGATGCCATTTGAGAGCCAAAGTTTATTCAACTATAGTCATTCTAGGTAGGCAATAAAAAGTTCTACTGGATTCACCTTGTATTAGTCTTTTTCCAGATGGTCTCAGTATGGTATCGGTATCGGTGACAAAAAAAATGGCATTGGCAAAACCCTAGTTAATGAGTGAGACTTTTTTTGTACTCAGCCTCTTTGTTTTAATATTACTTTCTATTTTATTTATTTATTTAATTCATTCATTGATTATAATAAAACAATATATTGATCCTGCCGTGTCACTTGTTTAATTGGAAATACAGCAAAAATTTAGCTGCATCATGTTACACAAACTAACACACACAGTATCCTCCATCTGAAATTATTGTTTCCCTTCTGAATTTTATATTTATTTTTTATCTCATTTTCCAAATATGCTGATTTATCTTTAGTTAATATACATCATTTTCAAAACATATCAGATGTGAGGATCAGTTACCAAGTTTTTGAGTAGCCTTTTTCCCATTTACTCGAGTAATTTATTGGATGGATAATTTTTACTTTTAGTCGAGTAAAAATATTCTGAACTAGTGGCATTGTTAATTTAGTAAAAGTTTTGGGTACTCTACCCACCACTGCTGGAGCAGGTAAGTTTCTGTGGGACACACAATAAAAAGAGTAAAAGCAAAGTGTAGCTTCATCCATGACTTAATCAAAAAAGAAGAATCAAAGGAAAGTGAAGGGGTTGAACAAAGAGTACTTTCTATGTTATCTATTTGCCTGTTTAAAGGTATAGCGGAGGATGTTCTCTTTCCAGGTGGATCATCAAAATAAGTGGTCCTCCTAACTGTCAATCATTCTAGTGATATGTTTACGTAAGGCCGTCCTACGTCCTCGTCTCCTTTTTCACCTACCGGTGACGTGTCTGACATAGTGGAAAAATGTGAAATCTTTTGGAAGGTAAGCTTGTATGAGCTATACAAACAGCAACTTTTAAACAGAGCGTGTACGAGGAGAAATAGGCTCCTGCATACTCACGCGTTTAATAGGTGTTCCCTCTCGGGAGAGGGTTCAGGGTTGTGCATGTGCATTTTTTTTTTAAGTGGAGAGGGCGGGTCTTTTCAAAAATTTGCGAAAATCCTTCACTATAACTTTAAAGAAAAATGCTCTATCCAGGAAAGGCAAGCAGCTTAGTACAGAAGCTTTTAGCAATGTTCACTATCTAAGGAGATAACTCTGGCAAGTTGAGCTTTAAATTAAAGGGGAGACCTGGGAGCGATTAAGGCTATTTGTAATACCATTTTGGTTATGTGTGTGTTTGGTGTTTACCCCTGTAAGATAATAATATTGATGAATCTAGAGTGAAATACAAACACTGTCAAACAAAAAGTATACATGTCCCTCTTGTCTACTAAATTCAATTTCAATTCAGTTTATTTATATAGCGCCAAATTCACAACACATGTCATCTCAAGGCACTTTACAGTTCAACC